AGGCGTGTCGGCAGTACAGTGCTATCTGTGACAGCCTTGGGAAGGTTGAGTTCGATCCTCATAACGATCGCCTAGATAAGTTCTGGTTCAACAAAGTGTCTGGCCAGCAAGAGTATGCTCGACTGTGGGTGGTACTTCGGAAAGCCCTGATCTTGTCCCATGGTCAGGCGTCTGTGGAAAGGGTCTTTTCGGTCAACCGAAACATAGAGGCTGACAACATGTCAGAGAAGACGCTGGTGGCTAGAAGAATAATCTGCGACCATATCAAAGCTGTTGGTTACCAGAATCTGTCCGTGGACAAGAAGCTTCTGCTCTCTGCTGCCAGTGCCAGACAGAAGTACATGGCCTATCTAGAAGAGGAGAAACGTGCTAAGGCCCAAGCCTCTACACAGACCTTGAAACGTAACCTAGAAGATGAGGTGGACGTTGTCAGGAAGCGTAAGAGGCAGATTGAGATTGATGTGAATAAATTGTTACGCAGTGCTGACACGCTTGCTAAGCAAGCAGAGGACAGGGGAAGCTTAACCATGCTATCAAAATCTAACAGTCTTCGTCGCATTGCCCAAGAAAAGCAGGAGCTTCTCAACGGTGTTTCCAAGAAGCTAGAGGATAAGTTACTCCTGATTAAAAATAACTAGAGGCTAATGTTCAAAACAATTTGTCCTGGAAATGTCCTGGAATTTCATCTCACTTAAGGTGTACGAACCCTGACTGTTATCAGGTATATGTATATCAAGAAAGTATTTTTGTCATTTAATAAATTCCAAGCTGTTTTGTGTTATACGTTATGAATCATTAGTGACTACTGATTTTCAGGCTATTTGTACATCAGATATTGGTAGAATGTTATCTTTGGCAAGTTTTTGTTTTTGCCCCCTCAAAATGTTGTATCATCTAACAACTACCTGTAAGTTTTTCCTTGTTTTTTTTATAATCAGGACATTTACCAGTATCTTGAACTTATTTTAATAGCAAATATAGTTGTAAGGTGTTATCCTTGTATGATTTTTCTGTACCAAGCTGGTGTTTTAATCTTTTCATAACTGTACTACCAAACCCTTTTTTTTTCCATGATTAATTTGATCAGGTGTTTAGTTATGAGAGTTTATATACTTCACCAATATCTTGTAATCACTGTATCATATTGTATGTATACTATTATAATAGTATCTTTATCATGTTATTTCTTGTTTTTGTTGCACTCTTCCCCAGTAGTAACGTATAAGTTGATGCCTTTATTTGGCTAGGTTCAACCTCATCAAGGAAGATATTGCTCTTTTAGTATGGATGAGATGAAAGAAACCATGAACATGTTCTGGAATCAATGTTATGAAAAAACCAAAGTTGATCTTCATAAAAGGAATCGAGAAGTAGGAGAAAGTAAACTAAGGTTTCAGGCATGTAGAATTTTGAAATGCTTTCGAGACTTTTACAATTGTTTACTTGATACTTGCATATAAGTTAGAAACTCTTACCTAAATCCAGAAAGACAAAACATAAAATCATATTGTCAAGTAGTTGCTATTGAAATAATTTATCAGTTTTGATTTTATTAAGTATCATAAACAGAATAGTGGCGACAAGAATTTAATACATAGAACTGTATTAGCAACATAGGATAGGAGCTTTTTTTCAAAATCATCAGAAAAACAAAGAAAACATAATTATTACCTCTGCCACAGAAGGTTGAAGGATGTTATGTTTTCACCCCTGTGCGTTTATCAGCAAGATTTCTCAAACAGCTGAATGGATTTGAATGAAAGTTGATATACACTTGGACTATGACCCAACTTGGAAGTGATTAGTTTTTGGAGGGTCAAGGTCATAGCAAGGGCATGAAAATCCAAAAAATCCCTATCTGTTAACATGGGGACCAATTTTTCACACTATTTTTGCTCTATAACTTAGTCAAAAATGATTGGATTTTGATGAAACTTGCTGGACACGTATAGGATATTATTCCTCATTGTCCTGCCAAAAATGGTCCATATCTGTTGATAACGAAAAAATTAGAAATATAGAAAAAATTACATTAAATCTGTCTCAGAACAAATAAATATATATGTAATACAGTTTGTGTTTATTCTGGGTATGAACTGTACAAAAGTTAATATATAAATATAAAATTAATAAGTATAATTAGATGGCAACTTTATAAAATTGCATAAAAAATTACATCACTGACATATTAAATTAATGATATATCTTGCACAATTTTGAAGTTAAAATTATAAAATTTTAAAAGCATAATCAGAAACAATAACATTAAAATAAAATATAAATGTCATTCATGATTTTTTTATGTTTTGTGTAATGATGTATTTACTTAAATTCTTGTGTTGTTATAGTCCCAAGTTATGGAAGTATTTCATCAGAAGGCAGCAGAGGAAAATAATCGTTACAGTTCACTCTTAACAAGCCTTCGTAACCAGAACCTTCTCATTAGACGTCGATGGCGCTTAATTAAACTTTACTTAACAGGGCCTTGTGGACCATGGGCCTATAGGTCAGTAATAGTTTTAAATTTTTTACCTGACACAATTGTGATAGAACAATAAGGATTTCAGATACCTTTTCTCAGACGTAGTTGGATTCAAAATCAGCCAAAAGATCAATTTATCAGCCTCAAGGAGTAATTTCTCTTCAGTTACCGTGTTTGTAAAAATATTTGAATGTTTTTTTTTACATATTTCTATAGATTTTAGCTTCTAGGTTAGTGAAGATTTTAAATATTTTGTCTGATATATCACTGTGGACTTAAAATTGATGTTTTTTCAATAAAGATTTGTAACAATGTGCTTTGTGATCTCAAGATTTTTTTCATTTTTTACTTGACTGGTCTCTGTGAATTGTAGGTTATAGGTTGAAATAAAGATTGAAAATGTGTTACTTGATTGTTTTCTGTAGACTAACGTTAATTTATAAAATGCATAAGTTGCTCATGCTAAAAAAGCTTTACTTCATAATAGGTGTGATATTTCATCACAATAACACTAATAATGGTTTTAATAGCATAATTTGGTTCGATATGCATTTCTAGTTAGAAGTATTTCTACTACAATCTATCTGTTGCTTACCACTGACAATGAGCCTTTTATCCAGTACTAAAGATCATGAAGTCGGATAGGTTATCATATATAGTCTTACTTCAAATGCAGACTTCAAGTCTTACATTATTATATTCTAGTTCAATATTTTCTGTTACATTTAGCACAGATCAACAACTTAGCCAAACATAAAATAGACATGAATTGCTATTTCATGCATTTATTGATTGAAATTTAGTAACAGACTAGGAGGAATATCATTGATGATCCATTTTATATATATATATATATATAGTCTTTTCACTAATTGAGTTATAATAGAAGTTCTATCTTTTGATTATTTAGTGGCCTAGTGGTTAAGGCACTCGACTCGCTATCTGAGGGTCACAAGTTCGAATCCGCAACACTGAACATGCTTGCCCTTTCAGTGGAGATGTTGTAATGTGATGGTCAATCCCACTATTTGTTGATAAAAGAGTAGTCCAAGAGTTGACAGTGGGTGGTATTGACTAGCTGCTTTCCCTCTATTCTATAACTGCTAAGTTAGTGATAGCTGGTTCAGATAGCCCTCATGTAGCTTTTCACAAAATTCAAAACAAATCAAACCAAATCTGATTGTTTACTCAATTTCCAAAAAAAGTATGGTAATATAAAAAGCAAACATATGTGTTTGAATATTTAATTGTGATTTTATTAATATAGCTGTTACATTTATTGCTAGTTATACATTATGAATGTTTCAATTCAACAGGTTAAAACAAGAACAGCACTGGAAGCTTTCTCATTGTGAAAATTTTGCTAGAATGAGACTGAAATTAACATTCAACTTTAATTTTGACATACACAAGAAGGCTACCCGACTTCGTGATAATCAAGGTAGAATTTGTTTTTGTCATAATTTTCTACTTTTTTTTTTCTTGTTTCTTGTATAATTATTATGATTATTATTATTGATTTGTCTTTGCTATAAGTAAAAGCTATTCTTTCATAGACCATTCCAAGCTTTTGCTTGTTGTTAAACTAATGTTTAAACAACTCTATTTATTCAAATAAAAGAACCATTA